TTCTGGAAGATGAAGTCTTCCTGCGCCTGTTTGGAGAGGCGGATCTGGAGGAGGAGGAAGAGAGGTACTCTTCAAACTTCTGTTGATCGAACTCGTATTCGATCTCTTCGTTCACCCGGATCTTGAAGGCCGGTTGCGTCACGACGGCCTCGGCAGCGAGGCCGTTGGCTCCCACTGTGGTCGCCAGTTTGTTTTCGTCAATGTAGGCAATAAAAATTGCCTTTAATCCTTATCAGAGAAGTTCAGAACAAAACTGCTAAAAACTCGCCCGAAATAGCAGAAAAAGGGGAAAACGCGGATATCTCCCAAACCGTAAGGAATTTGGCGAAACGGAGGAAGCGAACCGAAGCCTTCGGCTAGGTTCGGATGGCTCTATCTCATCGAGATAGGCGATTTTCACATATAATTCGTCCAATTCCGACTTACGGTTTGAAAGTTACGGCCTATTCTTCGATCCATGCTATAGAGCTCGCCTAACGGCTTGAAGATCGCCTGCAGACCCAGGTTCGTTTGCAGTCCCCAGCTTCGCCTGCAGTTGCAAATCCTCCTGCAGACCCAAGTCTGCCTGCAATCCCCAGCTCTGCCTGCAGTCTCAACACTTGGAGTATGGGAACAGTTACATCAGTGGTCAAATCCCACAAATCAAGGGAGAGGGCACAATACTCCAGGCCCGTCAGATGGCCGTCCACAGTACGAATGAGCGGACAGGCGCCGAAACAGCCTGCACCCTCATAAATGCGGCTCACCTCAGTTGTCCAGGTGAAGGGACGAGAGCCGCCAACGCTCGGTGGTTGGTCAGATCCACGCAAGCATCTGACAGCCGTTGTCACGCATACGAGGAGGGGCTTTCCCACTCCTATGTAGCGTGATGCAGAGCACAGCTCTTCGAATGACCATTGACGGTACGAATGAACAGCAGGACGTCTCCGAACAACGTGTGGTCACATCCCATAATTCAAGGAGTAGTCAAGCTGTCTCCCTCACATGGTCAAATCCCATGAATCAAGGGATGGCCCATGCCATCCCTTGCCTGTTAAAACCCATCTTCAGCAGCATGAAGAAGGGGGATTGGCCGTTGCATATTCTGCTGGCTAATCTCCCAAAGGTTGAACCTGGACCTTTGCCAAAGGCTCCCTCATTTGAGAACCGAAGCTCCGGCTCCGGCATCAACTTCGATCGGATCGTCCAAGGGAAGCAGACTCGGCACGAGCACCGAGCGAAGCGTCCTATCGCCACCGAAGAACCCACGTTAAATAAAGAGGGCCTTCCCTCTGCTTCTGTTGTAAACATTTGATTTGTTAGTTTGTAATAAGCTTTCTTATAAATACAAACGAAGCTCCCTTTTTCGGGAAATCAAATTTTCACCCTACAGTCAAAAGTTGCCTTCATCATTGATTTCATTAAAACTTCAAACGTTACAAATGAATTCAAACAACAAAGAAATAAAAAATTACAACTTTCTTAAAAATAAACACAAGATCCGTTCGTCGTCTCTTGCTTGCGTGGGTCTTTAGCCTGTGACGGGGACGTCGATATCCGTGGACTACCTGGCAATCAGATCTGATCCAGAGCTTCGTCGATCCGTGAGGAGATCTAGAAACTTGAAGCGCCTATCTCGATAAAAGCGAGATATTTGCTCTTCTTAGTATTACCACAACGGGATAATACTAAGGATCAGGTACGAGTGATGTAGATCTGACGAAGAACTCCTTTTGCGTTGAAGTGCTCGATCACTCTTCACTCCGGCAGGGCTTCGCCTATTCTCAAAAATTCCAGATCTCAAAAAATGAGGCCTAAGGCTTGTATTTATAGGCATGAGGAGTTGCGGAGCGGTTAAAACCGCTTTAGGGGGTCAAATCTGCGTTGGGACACCCTTGGGGTGTCTTGACTTGGCCGAGACACCGTAGGTGCCTCAGTTCAGCTCTGAGACGTTTTCAATGCCTGTTTGACCGTTTTCGCTGTAACTTCTTCGTCTGAACCCGGATTTGAGTGATTCCAAATGCGTTGGAAAGCCGACAAGAAGTTCTATCAGCTCCAATGGTTGGATCATCTGTTGAATGAATGAGACACGAAGGGCGTTGTTCCTTTTGTAAACACCGCGGGGCTCTCGATTAGCCCGTACCTTCGTTATTCCAAAATTCTGTCGGCTCACGTAGTTCGTTGATTCACTTCAAGCGTTCACCGACGTCAATCGAACTCCTGTGAACCGGATAGTGACGTTCACCGTCATTCCTTAACACTGAGCTGTTCGTAGAGACCTATAGACAATTTTCGATGCCTACAGATACAAACCAATCTCGCCTAGGGGTCACATTATAGGTAGCGCCGGAATCAAGCATCCAATCAAATGCATCCAAGTGGTTCACCTCCAGAGTAATCAATAGAGAAAAGCTCGAATCATTTGAATCATCGCCTCTCGTAACGTTCATCTCATTGGCCTTCGGGTCCTTCTTCTTGCTATTCTCCTTCTTCTTGAGCTTCAGGTAGTCTCTCTTCCAATGTGATTGTTCCTTGCAGAACGCGCACACTGATTCTTTGCTAACTAGTGATAGCCTTTAGACTTTGACCTGCTCCTATTACCACCTCTCGGATATGTGTTTCTACCTCTCGTCGATCAGGCCTCTCCTGAAGTACTAGCGCAGGGAGTCTTTTTGTCCTTTCTCCTCAAATCATAGTTCGTCAAGGTATTAGTAACTTCACTATATGTGATAGAAGATCTCCCATTCAACAAAATAAGCACGAATGTATCATACTCCTCATCAGGTAAGGAGCCCAAAAGAATAATAGTCTTGTACTCATCCGTAATATTCTCATCCACATTGGCCAAGTCTGACAATAACTTAGTATAGTTATTCACATGAACTACTAGTGAGGTACCCCTGGACATCTAAAATCTGAACAATCTTCGTAACAAGTGCAATGGTTCTCAGCACTCTTTGTAATGTACTTATTATTGAGAATTTCTCACATCTTCATTGCAGACGTCACCCCCAATCATATCATACTTCAGCTTTTGTTCCAAACAGGACCTGATCACCCCACAAGCATTCCTATTCATCTTTTCTCATATCGCCTCTTTATATTTTGATGGCCTCTCATGGACCATGATAGTCTCCTCCAAATTTTGAGCATTGAGCGTATCTTATACGTCGCTCATCCGCAAACCAAAATTAATTTTGTCGTCATATTTAACCACACTAATTTTAGTGTTCTGAAAACCAACTTGAACTGTATCCATCATCTTGCTGTTTTCACCAACTTCTTCACTCATACTCACAAACTCCAAATTATAGAGAAAAAATTTAAATTTGATAGAATTTAGAAGTTACTCAATTGAACCCTAGAACGGATTCCAAATAGATCTCCTAACCATACGAGAAAAGCGAAATCTTCAACGGAAACCTCAAACACTATCTCCATCGAAGCCTAGAACTTCAAGAACCAAGCTTTCACGATGAATCTTCCTTCATCCAATGCCAAAATCCTAGATCTGAAATTTAAGCTCTGATACCAATTGTTCTGCGCCTTTACGGAAGCGTGCTCGACAATCAAACGAGTCCGCGAGCCACAGGAGAAGATAACCAAACCAAACACGAGCACAATCCAATCCAAAACGACAAACCAATCGCAAACACAGAGATATATGTGGTTCAACAATTTACTTACGTTCACGGGGAGAGAATATGGAGATTTTACTATTTCGAGAAGAGTACAAAAGGGTTACAATCACTCAAACACTCGAACAAACGCTAACCAATGATCTCTAACCTAGCTCACAAGTTCTCCCTCTCAAAGTGCTCAGAATATCCTCTAATCTCTGATAAACAAAACCCTAAAATCGTGTTTCAATATATATCAAAACACAAACCAAATCAGAACAGGAAATAAAGCTCAGGCCCAAACCCGACTGACGGTCGACCGCGCCAAAGCTCGCGGTCGACCAGACAGAGCGACAGAATCCAAAAATCCATTCCAGGGTTTGGCGGTCGACCGGACCTAATCTCGCGGTCGACCGACCAGAACTCCAGAAACTACCATGTACTCGTGCACGTTTGCGGTCGACCGCGCCAAAGCTCGCGGTCGACCGGCAAGCACCCAAATGCCTTTCTGCTTCAAATTTCCTGAACTTTACCAATATTTTCGTCATTTCTATAGAAAATACATGTACTTTAAAATCACTATAAGTTTCATATACTTATTTAATTGTCATAAATTTAAACGATAAAATAGTTTCAATTAAGTAAAATGAAGAACCTGATGTTTTAATATTCATCTTCAAACAATAGGAGATCAACTTATAAAAATTGAAGATGTTTTAGAAAAATTATTAGCTAAAATTAATGATGTTACACCATCATTATTAGATAAGTCTAAAAGTTTTTCTAAAAAATTAGAACAAACCACTATTAAACCTCCAGTTGAAATTTCAGGATTTAAGAGAGATAGTGAAATAACCCCTGAAATTATAGATATTCTAGCCACTAAATTAACCCATGCTAGAATTCACACGCTTAATGAAGCATCACCTTCTTTGGATATATCTGAAGAAGATAGTGAATCCGATAAATCGGATAGTTCTGGAGATATACCTCCAACAGAATTATTGGCTGTAGAGAATAACTTTACAGAAATAAATAAAATTAAAAATTATCCTAAGAAAAGACTGGAAAGGTACTATTATTAGCAACCTACTCCAGCAGATGTCTTATTTGAAAAAAATGATGCCTTTCTACATGCAGATTATAATGGTAGACATATCTACGAATGGAATATAGATGGGTTATCCGATACCGACCGCCTCAATATTCAATTAATTTGTACTATTAATCATCCTATAGACTTCAGTTTGATAGTTCCGATCATTTGCTCAAACAATCCTTCATTGACCAAAGCAAACACAAGATGTAATTAAGTGTGAACAACTTGCATAATTTCAGAAATTTTTCGAAGAGGGATGGAAGACTAGCTAATATGACTTCTTACAAAAAAAATCAGACACATAAAAAGTTAATTTGATAATTATTTAGCAAACAACATCACTGAGACTTAACATTAAACCACGTACGTGTCAGATTACAAATCAGGTTGCGATGATTACCTGGAAAGAATTCCTCAGACGCCAAGTAATTAACTAACAAACATTGCTTAAGAGAAATTAAACATGTTTCATGACAAACCAAAATACTATAGCCATCCTTGCAACTTATTATAAAGAGAACTAACTGGCTTCGAGAAAATGGCGGGCTATAGGATGTTGAGATTGTGAGAGATTGGAAGGTTCTAGAACCTCGACGACCTCACCGGCCACCACGAGGCAAACCACGTCAGCAATCCGCTGGATTTGTTTGACGCTATGAGACACCATGACGGTGGTCATACCGCGAGTATTCTTCAACCGTACGATGGCCTCTTCTATGTTTTGCGTCGATATAGGATCCAATGCGCTCGTCGGTTCATCCAATAGCAAAACCTTCAGTACACAGAATTAACTCAAATATTGTCCTCATAATAATAAGTGAAAAATGTTCCTAAGATGACGACTTAGATAATTATCGTTTGAGAATGCTTTTGTTTTTTAATCTTATAAGTTATATTGGCTTTTAATGGGTTTTGGCTTTTTTGATAAAAAATACTATAAAAATTATTTAAGCAGAATAGTAATTTGCTTGGTCAAACCTATCTTTTTTAATTGAGCTTATAATCTAGTTTTTCAAAAACTGGGGTATACCAGCTTTTTAAAAATGAGACTTATAAGCTAATTTATTTGACATTTTATCAAACAGATAGAAATAAAAAGCTAGCTTAAAAGCTTGTTTGACCAAAAAATAAGCTCTCCCAAACACCCTCTAAGATTAGTAAACTTTTTAAGCAACTTAGTACGAAGTGGAAAGAAGTGAGACCTCGGGGTCATTTGCCAACGTCCGAGCAAGAGCTACCCTCTGAGCTTGACCAACCGAGAGTTCGGATGCGGGTCTAGATGCAAGAGACGGGCCCAAATCCGCAACGCTGAGAAGGTTGTGGACCTCTTTATCGGTGAGCTTCTTTCCTCTAAGTTGAGGTCCATATCTCACATTATCTGCTACTGTACCTGGAACAGAACGTAAAATTAATAATAGAAACTTTTCAATACACAAAACCAGTAGATCTTTATATCTCAATAATGAGAAAGAATTTGGAGGAAAAAAAAGTTGTAGATTGAGTGAGGAATGCAAAAGGATCTAGTTTACTGGTTCTATTTTGGATGTCTAGAAATCCCACACTTAATACCTTTTAAGGTTTTTGTTCTTTCAACCCTAAAGTCTAAATATTTTAAAAATTGGTCCCTCAAACGTTGCATTGCAATTGGTATTATATGCCTCAGTTCTTATAAGTCGTTAAAATTTAGTCTCTTGTCATTAGGTCCTTTAGTTCTCATAAATTGTTACAAATTAATCTCCAACTAATTAAGAGTAAATTTAGCAAGATATGCAAATTGGAGGCCCTAATTAATGGCTATTTTCAATTATAGGAGGGACCAATTTTAAAAAAATAAAGATGAAAAAGTCTAAATATTTTAAAAATTGGTCCCTCAAACGTTGCTTTGCATTTGGTATTATATGCCTCAGTTCTTATAAGTCGTTAAAATTTAGTCTATTGTTATTAGGTCCTTTAGTTCTCATAAATTGTTACAAATTAATCTCCAACTAATTAAGAGTAACTTTAGCAAGATATGCAAATTGGAGGCCCTAATTAATGGCTATTTTCAATTATAGGAGGGACCAATTTTAAAAAAATAAAGATGAAAGGTACTAATATAAAAAATTTAAAAAAAACCTAGACTTTTTTCTCGGAATACCCACGATGATTTATGGTTTCTTTCCGGTGGTAGAGTCGTAGAGGGTGCTGGTTAAAAATTTACGAGCCATTAGACATTCATCAAGGATTAATACTTCTTGAATACTCGCTCGGTATACAAATTCTTACGTCCATTAACTTATGGGTAAACAAATGTTTGGTACGCTATTAATTTAATTAATTGGTAGTATTGTGTAGTGTTAATTGAGGACCCCCTCAGTACAGCCTAAATGTGAATAGACCCCTTAGAGTGTTGTGCGCAGCGGAAATTTCGGCAGAGTTTCTGGTGCACAATAAGATAGAAAGATCGATAAGAATTCTTGTTTCTCAAAGGAAACAAGAATCTGAAAGCCTAATATCCCATCAAAGTGGGATATTTGCTCTTCCTCTCGTCAGCTCTAGGACTGCGCGTCGAGGGATTCTAAAAACTATTACAATGGCCACAAACTTAAACAACTAATTTTACGTGGTTCGGCAAACTGCCTACGTCCACGGGGCAAGAAGGGGGAGATCTACTATTAGAGAGGAGATAATACAACTAGAGTTTACAATCACTCAATCTAAACCCTCACACAATTATCTCTCTCAAAATCAGCACAAGAAACTGCACAAAACTCTCTCAAAAGGCCGCTTGAGAACCTTCTGTGTTTCACCTCACGCAGCCGCCAAAATCTCACACAGCCGCTCAAAAAAAAACCTATGTGTTCTCTCTCTGCCTGCGCCCTTCCTTTTTGTACCTCTGCCTGTGCCGCACAAATTTTCACCAGCACCCCCCCTCAATCTTGCACACGGAAACCCTAGGAACACTAGGGTATTTATATTGTACAATGGTCTTTCGGGTGGGCCTGCGATTTATCCGATGGACTAACCACTTCTTTTGTTCACAGCTATTATCACTTCACGCGTTTTTCTTCTCTTGTGGCCCTCACTAACAATTCTCCACCTCAGTGAAGTTTTCCCAAAACTGAGCCGACACCGACCAAACCAAATGTCTCACTTGTTGTGTCCAGTACACCGTGAAATAATTCACGACAACAGACTCAATCCATAACAAGTCGAGAACCCAAATGAGAATGTAAACACTCTCCAAATGTCAGTATCAACTCACCAAATCGATCGCACCCCCATCAAAATCCAAACCGGCTGCATCTGAAAGATTGCCTACGTATCCTCTTGCCCAAGGAATCAAGCCGAACGTAGTTCACCCAAATGGCCGCGAACGACCTCAATCCAATAGAAGAGTTCGCAACCCTTCTCAAATATCATCAACTCTGCGGCTGATAGCACCTCCAATGGCCTCAAACACCTCCACCTGAGGTGAACCAATGGTCATATTCAAACTACATCTATCAGCTGCACTCGAGTCAAAATCCTCATCGAAGCTTCAACCAAAGTGACACTACCAGACCTATCTTCCAATGGAGTTTTACCTCCAATCACAGCAGTTGACAACTCTTTAATAGGATGACCCAAATATGTCGAAGCCTCTGTCCAGAAACTCTTCTGCAAACCATTGCTCGACCCCAAACACCGATCCTCCTCCAGAAAGGCACGGTTCTCCAAATTTGTCACCCTATCTAGCTGTTCCAAGATTTCCTTTCCAACGAAGTGTCTCGAAATGCCGTGAGCTTGGCTCCAATACAGAAACAGGTCCATCTTGTACCTCCCACCAGAATGGAGTACCTTCACCTTTCTGTCTATTACACACTTCTTCAATTTGTTGGATACTACTAGGACTTTCTCCAAAGGGGATTTGGTTGCAACCCAAACACGCCTAGAACAGTCACCAACAAAAGGAAATCAAACTTCTATTACCTCCCAATGATGCCTCCTCGGAAGGCCCCCAAACATCCACGTGAACTCCTCCAGAACGACCCTTAGCACGGTGAATAGAGGTGCCACA